GAATTCACTTCTCATTGCTAATCCCATGACTCTGTACTAAAACACTTCCATATGTACTGTCTCCTGCCACACAATCCATAGATTTGGAATTGAAGTGTGCCAGAAATAAACAGAAGTGACCATTTCTGTAGATAATGAATAGTTTTCTAGGATCATGGGACTAAAAATAAAATCTAGTCTTTTGCCTGAAAATATGATCAGATAGATAATGTCATTTGCATGAAAAGCATGGAACTGTGGTTCATGAGACCAGAGGGAGTGGTGTAAGAGACATAAGATTAAAAACCATTTACTTGAATGTATATTTCTCATTTACACCCATTTGGGTAAGCTCAGAAAAATCACTTCCCCTCTCTTGGCTTCAGGATTCCCATACATTAAACACGTGAGATAAATCATCTCTGATTTTCTTCTAGCTCTGTCAATCTAGGATTTTATCCTGAAATAAAATAACCTTTCCCTGATTGAGATTTTCTTTTGTAGTGGTAAATATATTTAGCTGATAAAGAGCAATTAATTAGTTGAAAGTTATTATAAGATTAATTATAACAATACACCTCACAGCATTTTTTTTTTTCTGGGCTCACACTGCTTTTGCCTTTCTCTTTAGCTACAGCTTTTGCTAGTATTTCTAAGAAACACCTCATGAATCTAGCCTTCATGTGGGGAGGAGGTATGTTTTATAAGTTCATATTTTCATGTAACTAGCTTGTTTCTAAGCATCAGTGCCAGCGATTTTAAATTTGTACCAGGGAGATAATGTGGAATCTCTAAATGCTTTGAAAATAAAAGTCTTTGTGGGTTTTATGTCATTGACTGTAACTGAGAGTGCCTGTCCTAAATTTCCTTTTAAAACTTTTATCTTAAGGGTCTAGCTTTACTCAACAACTTTTAATAAGCAATTGCTCCATGCTAGGTATTGCACTAGCCACTAGGAATATAAATAAGAACATTAAAGTAACTCTTCTCTTAAAAAGTCACGGTCTAATGAGAGACGTGGACTTGTAAACAGGCAGCTGTGAAGCAGTGACAGCTGGTAATGCAGGTGTAAGGACAGGGGGTCAGGGGAGCATAAGGAAGGAATAACTGACTCACATCCAGACAGGAAGGAAGCCGTGGAAGACTTTCTTGGAGAAAAAAAAGCTGCACTTTTAATGTGTTGAGAACAAATTAGTGTAGAGTTTAAAGGAATGGATCTTGTGAGATAGAAGGAAAAAAGTGGGAGAAGGACCAGGGGTGGATAAAGGGGATATGTTAGGAGGAGAGGACAAGTAGGAACAAGTTCAAGAAAATTATTCAAGGGTAGGAAAGAAAGAGGACAATGTAAGAGTTGAGACTGAAGAGGTGGACAGAGGGCTTGCATGGCAGGAGGAGTTCGGCGTTCATCTTGGGGGCTGGAGAAGCCACTTAAAGGTTTTACGCATAATACCATCAGATTTGGCCTTAGATCATTACTCTGCCTGCAGTGGAGAATGCAGTGGAAGAGGAGACTGAAGCAGGGAAGTCATGTATAAGGCCGTTGTAGTCGATCATGAAAGGATGATGATGGCTTAAACCAAAGAGTTATTATTTTTGGTGATCAGCTCTGTAGAGGATAAAAGGGAGAAAGGAAAACAGTGCCTAGATTTCAGGTTTATCTCATTTTGCTTTTTTTTTTTTTTACTGCAGTGTGTCTGCTTAGTAGGAGTTTTCAAAAAAAAATCGAACTGGGAAATTAAACAGATCTCTGTTTTGAAGAGATCATTTGGAGATTAAAAAAAAAAGTGTAAAGAATGGAGACAAGCAAGTCTGTGAGGCCACTGAAAAAAGTCCACTGAAAGGAAAGAGGGTCTAAGCTTATAAAACAAGGTAAAAAGTGAGATGTCTTTCGGCATGAAAGACATTTACAAGGTCTGTAACAGATTAGGAGAGAGAGCACAGAATAGCTTGGAGGAGGATTATTTTCATCCCTGAAAGTAATCCGGAAGGAAGTACAGTCAAAAATGAAAAGTCCATCAAGGATAACAAAGACTTTATTGCATTTTTTTTTCCTGGGACTTATTTTCAAATGACAAAGCCTCTCTGTTCCCTCTTGAAGAATGATTTATAGCCATATATGATTT